GGAAAGACGACCTTATAAATCTTTCGCCGCTGCGTCAAATTTATCACGTTGTCTTTTCGATTGCGGCTGGATCCCTCGGCCCGGAGACCATCGCCCCCGTCCAAAAGAATTTCTAGCATAGGTATTGCCTGGTCCAGCCCGAAGCCAATACTTCACGCTCCCTCCTACCCTGAAGCTCTAACCGCCTCATCTTGTCCCCGGCATGTCACGCGTCGGGATAGGCTGCGCGACGCAGCACATCTCGACGCGTGGCTTGCCGGGAAACGGGGTGTCTGGACCACGGCTGGCGGATGTAACGTGATTTATATTATGTCTGTGACTCTTGCCTTTAGCCATTCTGCTGAGCTGATTGTCTAGTTCTTCCACATACATACTAGTCTGTTGATATGCTATGTCTCGTTATATAAATGACAGTATGTTACTGTGATAGACAGTCATCATACAGTCATCTATCTAGTCGATCGACTAAACGGTGTATTCAGTACGGTCAGCTATCTTATCAAAACCCATCGTTACACGGACGTTGCGGAATTCAAATGCCGAATCACCTGGCAAAAGCCATCCGCACTGTTTGTTCTTGTATCATCGGGGCTGACTGATCCAAATGGCCGAATGATCATTTTCACATCGAAGCAGCCGGAAGTCAGCGGAGTTTGGGTACGATGAGTCGATCTTAAGGCCGTTGGATGGTATAATTGTGTCCCGCTTCGCGTCGGGACAGAATTACTCTAGCCAACGGCCTTTAAGATCGGATGCCCTTATGCTCAGGTTCCAAACCGTTAACATGGGCACACCGACAACTCGCTGACGGTCATCTTGCTGATCGACAACTTGCTGACGAGTATTTAACGACCGACAAAATGCTGAACCGACAGTTTGTTGAAACAACAAATCGCTGAACGACATTTTGCTGAACGTCAGTTCGCTGACACCGACGATTAACTGACGACAATTTGTTGACTGACGACTTGCTTACTTACTAAATTGTTGACCGACATTTTGCTGACCGAGGTTTTATGGAAATACCGACAACTCGCTGACCACAAATTTAGTCTGTTACTCATTAAATCCTTGTAAAACTCAATTTCTGTGATTACGATCGGATACCACAACCACTTCTCCTGCTATTAACAGCTGCCGGCTTATGCAGCAATCTGACAATTCCAGTCGTCCAAATCTTTTTTCTGCTCGAGCGCGTACGAGCAAATTTCATATAAAATTTAAGAAACAGAAGAAAACTATGAAACCCAAGAAACCTCAGAAACCTAAGAGACCTAAGAAATCTAAGAAAACTAAAAAACATAAGAAACATAAGAAATCTAAAAAATCTAAGAAACCTAAGAAACCTAAGAAACCTAAGAAACCTAAGAAACCTGAGAAACCTAAGAAACATAAGAAACATAAGAAACCTAAGAAACCTAAGAAACCTAAGAAACCTAAGAAACCTAAGAAACCTAAGAAACCTAAGAAACCTAAGAAACCTAAGAAACCTAAGAAACTTAAGAAACCTAAGAAACCTGAAAAATCTAAGAAACCTAAGAAACCTAAGAAACCTAAAAAATCTAAGAAACCTAAGAAACCTAAGAAACCTAAGAAACCTAAGAAACCTAAGAATCCTAAGAAACCTCAGAAACATGAAAAACCTAAGAATTTTAAGAAAACTAAAAATCGAAGAAACCTAAGAAACCTAAAAAATCTATGAAACCTAAGAAACCTAGAAAATCTAAGAAAATTAAGAAACCAAAGAAACCTGAAAAACTTAAGAAACCTAAGAAACCTAAGAAACCTAAGAAACCTAAGAAACCTAAGAAACCTAAGAAACCTAAGAAACCTGAAAAACCTGAAAAACCTAAGAAACCTAAGAAACCTCAGAAACCTGAAAAATCTAAGAAACCTAAGAAACCTGAAAAACCTAAGAAACCTAAGAAACCTAAGAAACCTAAGAAGCCTAAGAAACCTAAGAAACCTAAGAAACCTAAGAAACCTAAGAAACCTGAAAAACCTAAGAAACCTAAGAAACCTAAAAAACCTCAGAAACCTGAAAAATCTAAGAAACCTAAGACACCTAAGAAACCTAAGAAACCTAAGAAGCCTAAGAACCCTAAGGAACCTAAGAAACCTAAGAAACCTGAAGAACCTAAGAAACCTAAGAAACCTAAGAAACCTAAGAAACCTCAGAAACCTGAAAAATCTAAGAAACCTAAGACACCTAAGAAACCTAAGAAACCTAAGAAACCTAAGAAACCTAAGAAACCTAAAAAACCTAAGAAACCTAAGAAACCTAAGAAACCTAAGAAACCTGAAAAACCTAAGAAACCTAAGAAACCTCAGAAACCTGAAAAATCAAAGAAACCTAAGAAACCTAAGAAACCTAAAAAATCTAAGAAACCTAAGAAACCTAAGAAACCTAAAAAATCTAAGAAACCTAAGAGACCTAAGAAACCTAAAAAAAACCTAGAAACCTATGACTATGACGAGCCGTTCGGGCAAAAAGGTTTTATGTATGTTATCTAACTAATGATATGCTTGTTATGATTGCCATGTTACTCATGGTACGCTTGTTATGTATGTTATGTACGTTAATAATGCTATGTTATCCATGATACTGTTTTGTGCTTCCCTTTAAATTCTTCATAATATATTATTACATTTGCTTCGAATTCACAACGAGAAATCTTTCAAGTTTGCAGATATAAGTTTGGTGCGGGCTACGGACAAACGGTATCATAATACTGCCGGTACATGTTATACCTACATGCAGATCATATTGAAACGGCAAGTCCTCCGCGAAGTCATCGAAAGATTTTTCGGCAAGGTTTGCTAAAAGTTTAACTAAAAATAAAAATTTATCTTGATTTATTTTCTCCAAAAAGAATGGCAACATGCGCTGCGGGTACTGTACTACGTAGGGGCAAATTTATCTACAAAGGTCAACTGGCGCGCAACAAACGACTGCAGCGCAAGGCATTACTGTAAGAATTGCTAAAAATTTAAGAAATATTAATTTTAAGAAAATTTAAATTTCTTCTGTTTTCAAAAGCAAATTTTTTTGAAGCTTCGTCCTGTACTGAAACGTGCTCATCAAATTTCGGTGAAGTTTAAATGTAAACTCTAACGAGGGAACATTTTCCGGGTATATATTCAGAAAATTTTGATGTGGAAAGATATTGTACCATAGTATGCTTAAAAAAATAATTCCATTTGGTGTGGTCCACTGAGCGTGGCAATACATAATTATATGATTACATAGTACTGCATACTGCTTTGCGAGTATCACTACTTATACAGTGTTACTGCAGTACGGGCTTTTCTGCTGTAACTTTATTCTGATGTTGTAACTTGTGGATGATGCTTTAGGCTTTAGCCGTACACTCTTCCAGTTTTCGTCCACCGACATAATTACGTAAGGGAAGCAGACGTTCTTATGCCATTCCTGCCAGATTACAAATTTTTAAAAATTGTCAGGGCAGGGTCTCCTAGACAGTATACGAATTGTTAGGTATACGAGCACTGTTGAATTTCTTACTATTTAACAACAGCTGCAGGACATAAACATAAACCAGTACTTTTGATCCAATAAAATCAGAATAACTTTAATAATTTTTTTAATTTCTATCACCAACTCCTGCGGCAAAACTGTCGGATGACTTCGCGCGAGAATTGCTATTATAATGTGAACTGTAACTTGTACTAGCACTTTGCTCTAGTATCATATGTACAATAACATTCATAACAAACGCAGCATAAGTAAGGTAACATACATAACAAGCGTAACACAAGTAACATGCCAATCATAACAAACATAACATAAGTAACATAACATATATAAAACCTTTTTGCACGAACGGCTCGTCATATATGACACTGGTGTAATATCAAAACATTTTTAACAGTTAATAATGAATAATTAATATTGGTTGAGACAATAACATACTCGTGAACCTAATACGGCGTAATAAATGGCTAAAGGTTATGTTTCAGTTATAACTGTCATAGTATTGCTTCCTTTTTATGAAACCAACGAAGATTCTAGTTTTCGCGTAAATATCGCTAATGTGCGTTGAACTGGTCAACAAATTGTCGGTCAGCAAGTTTTTGTCTTCTACAAGTAGTCGGTCAGCGAGTTGTCGATTACCGACATTTCGCTGGGCGACAAGTAAGCTGTCGTTCAGCAAACTAGTTTCTGCAAGATGTCGGTCGGCCAGCTTGTAGAAAAGCGTACTGTCGGTCAGCGGTTTGTCGGTCAGCAAGCTGTGGTAGTCAGCAACAAGTCGGTCATCAAATTGTCGGTCAGCGAAATGAAGGTCATAGAGTTGTCGTGCTACCGTTAAGATGTGCTCCACAGGCTTTGTGGAGTGAATCACCGCCCGGTATGGTACAGTTAAGAACTTAAGTGACTTTTGTACGTGATAAATTTACATCGGGCTTTCATAATTTTTCGTGCAAATCTGTTTAAAATATTTTTTTAAAAAATCATTATAAAATTTTTGAAAATTCTGCAAACCTGGTTACCTGGGTGTACTGTAATTTTCGTATTAGTGAGATGCGGTCCGTAAAATGCGGGAAAATTATAATTCCGGTATTCATTACCACAACAACTAATAAACTGTAGAAAAGGCAGTCAACACTCCTACTGGCGGTAAAGTACTCGTATAACGGTATAGCTAACAATAGTGCCGTCTTCAGTTCCAGGATGCAGACATATTAAACTGCTGAGAATTCTGCTCTATAGCTTGTATTCCCGTCTAGCCTGGCTCAGATTACCGCAGCCCGGAGGCATGTGGATAAACCGCGGAAGACGTACCCGGTTGTCTTGACCTTTCTGCTGAACAAGCGAAAGTGCTGAAGGTCACATAAGTGACTGCTGCGGATTTCTTTCTAGCGTATTATGTGCCAAAATTAGGTGCCAAATTTGAATTATGTGCCAAATCTGCCAGGAACGAAAACTTTATAAACGGAACATTATATTTAATGATGTATATTATATTTAATCGGCAGAAAAATAAATACCGCGAAATTCAGTTCTACAGGAAATCACCTACAATATGTCTAAAAAAGCCAAAAACTACGATACCTACTAAAATACATATCTGAAGTTATAAAACACATTATATGACAAACAACAAAGCCCAGCTGCACGTATACAGGTTAAGAGAAACTAGCGTTTCAAGCAGTCTTGAAGAAGCGTCTTCAACGGCACGGGAAACGGAGGCAGCGCCCGGTCGACATTTTGAAACCAACCAAGAGAAATCCGGTACACCATGGCGAACATTTGGGACGCTTCGTTCAGCTTGCGGTAGACAGCGGCGCGTTCTGCCGGATCGCGGCGCCGATAGCCGATGATGTACGTTAGCGCATCCGCATAAAACGTGTGCAGGTGACTGAGTAGTGATTTATCAGAAGCTGTGGTCGTTCCTAAGAAAAATCCGTCAACCGAAAACCATAATTACTGCGCGCTTCTGCTGAGCCACACTCGTAATATCGAAAGTCGAACAAAATTACTGTACCACCATATAATTCTGTTATAAATGTACAACGATACATACGAGGATCAAAAAGCGCCATGGCCAGTAGCAGATAGGATTCCGTCAATGTCAGCCCGATCCCGTTGAATACAGTACTAAATTTGGCACAGAACCGGAGGAATTCGGAATCCAAACCAATAATCTCCATCCAGTGGTTGCTGGCGGGAATCTGTTCAGGGCCCGGAAGTGGGTAATAGTATTCTCCCTTGTAAAAGGATCTCATGTGATGCAGCTAGAAAATTAACATCATAATTATGGAGAGCAAGTCTGTAATTGTCATACGAGCAGTTTGATAACGGACATAACAACTCGTACCAGATTACTGATAAAGGCTTTCTCCGCCAGCAGAATATCTCGATCCGCCGAGCTAATGCCCTCGAAACCGGGTAGCATGGCGAGAAATTGCACCAGACGGACTTTGCCATCTTCCAGTTTCTCCTGCATTTGCATTAGTGCTCGCTGCGGCAGTGTCTGCGGTTGGTACTGCAGTGTGAATTATTAAAATGGATTATTACTTAGGCTATGATGAAACTATATTCTGCATTGAGTGCACGCCGGTGTTGGAATGCGAGAAAATAAATCACAAAATTGTAAACTACGATTGTACCGGTATCAGGTGAGCTTCGAGGACGGACGTCATGAAGGCGGAATACACGGCAATCTGGTCCCCGTAAGCGATTTCGTACGCCGCACACACCGCGCCACCGGCTTTCTGCAGCATCACATCGCGGGAATTGCTCACGTTGGAGAAATGCGCGCAATGGAAATTGGACGGTAAAACTGGGCGAAAGGTCGCTGCGACATTCATGAAGCCCTGCAGATCTGCAAAGAATACGAGTAATTATTGGCAGTCTAAGCGCTGCAGGATGTAAAAACAGCGCGGTCTCCGACCGCATGGAGGGACCGGTTTGCGGAAGCCGAACGGAAAAGTCGTCGGTGTCGGCAAAAAATCCTCGTTAAAATGCCCACGCAGTTGAATCTGCACTTCGTTTAGGTCCGGCAGGGTTTCCACTGTGTTGGAACTCGATTCACGATCAGAAGATGGTGGGTCTTCCACGGTGACTGCAGAAATGGTTAATTAAAGCCAAGTGACCTTGCTAATCGTTTTCTCGTATAATCGCTCGGTCACACTCACAACTTATAATTGTGGTAAGCGAATCAGGCGGCGGCAGCGGTTAAATGTACGCCTAATTTAATCTTAATTTCCACAAATTTTTGTCGTATTTGTCTAAGAGCAGTACCGTTAGGTTTTCAATGGAACTCATAACCTGACAAATCGGAACTGAACCTGCTGGCAGTGTTTGGTTGCGGAACTGAAACCAGCAGGTTCCGACATCTGGACGCATCCTCGTCATTCATATGCAAGCCTACAGTATATTTCCATGTTTCCTTTTCTTTGTTATCGATATAAGCAGAGCATAGCTTTTACATGGCTGTCACAATTACATGGCTGTCACTTTTACATGGCTATCGGTTTGTGGAAATTAGAATTCACGCTGGCCGGTTGAACGATTCACTTGCCAGATGGTTTAACTAAACTAACATACACGTATTTTATTCATTTGGATCCGAATAACACCACAAGACCGAGCTAGCAGATGCAGTCATAATGCCGTACCTCTGTCCACAGAATTACTCCGTTTGGATCGTTTCCGTGCGCCCTGCCCGTCCGACTCCTCCATCGAAATAATATAATTGCATTCAGCTTTCTAAAATTCAACCTCCGAAAGTTGTAAACGCATCCTGCGCGAAATGGCCCGGTACATAAAACATGGTCACAATTTCGTGTCCACAAAACAATTTAAAAATTTAATTTGTTTGGAACTGGGTTTCTACGAAATTTTCCAAGGATATATTATACGCAACTGCCAAACTAGCCCACCAGTATGTAGTGACTGCAATCGTCCTTCGGTTTCAAAAGTGATTTTAAGACAGACAAACTGCAGACAGTGAAGCGATTGCAGACAGTTCTTTTTAGATCTGGCAGAATTTTAGAATACTGTAGTACTCGTATAGTACGTGCTATGCACAGCAAAACTATACCAATATATCTTGATGGCATCCACACAGACACTCATACGTTGAGACACAAAATAATCAAGAAACAATTTCTTGAAAAATGCATGCGGTTTACTCAGTATATACTGTATGTGACAGTATAGTGTGCATCTTGAATACAAGACGCTGGAGGCATTTCCACGCTGCTCGTGGTATCGCAAACGCTGAAAGCTGTCGCACCGGTTACACTGTCCGTGCGGCTTTGGGTGAAAATAATCGATAAAAATGCACTTCCGGATAAGTAAACACCGGAGTCGCCATAGTTGTCTGGCGGGTGTGGGCGTTAATGTGTCCTACATATAGTGCAAAATTAACCCAATCATATTTCTATTTACCGGTATTAATTTTCTCGAGACTCGTCGATCTTTTTACTACTGTAGGAATGCCGTACAGTGTTCACGATCCGAAAAATAACGAAGGATAAAATGTACAGGAATTAGAAAAATATGCCGGCATTTAGCACAAGGCAGCCACGTTACACATTTTGTTGTAAAATACTACAAGAAAAATTCTCCTAAATACTGCCGGAATTGATTTCCATTTCCATGTACATAATTCGCGGTCCTGGAAGCAGATTTGGTATGTCGTAACACAAGTGTCTGCACTAGTCTGTTCACTATTAGGTGTGTTTTGTAATCGTTGTGCATTTCTACCGGGTTTTGTGTTTTGTGCGAATTAAATTCCAAAGGACTTCACACACAAACAAGCGTGCTAATGTTTTCTTACTATATTATAGATCTTGATTCCTGGATAGACTAAAATTCCTTGATTCCTGGATAGACTAACATGAGCTGATTCCAGTTCTTCAGTAAACCAAAATCGGCTAAAACATAATTTGCGACCGTTAACAGTCTCAAAAATACCACCGTTGAAAAAAAAATTTGAACTTCGCTTTATCAATCAGATGTAAATTCGGCCAGTAACGGGAACTCGAGCGATTGCAGCAGTCCCGAACCAACATCCGCAGCGATGGTGGAAAAGAATTAAGTTTGCCGTTCAGACTGACATTTTTGTGCCAGTTAATCCACCACTTGGTAAACTATGAGCAGCATCTTCACCGCATTATCCAGCTTCTGATAAAACAGCTGCGCGTTCCGGAGTCGTTTGTCGGTTGCTGATCATAAACGTTAACGCTTATGTGTAGAAATCGAGAAGATCCCCGTAAAACTTTTTATAAGACGCGCTATTGGGTTCTACAACACCGATAAAAACTAGATATTTTTCTGGTCGAACGAAGCGTAGCGAAGGTCTTCTATGTTCAGCGATTAGAAACACGTTCAGCGACTCGGTGCGCGTTCAGCGATTAGCGTTCAACGACTTTTCTAGAAAAGTGCACTCGCTTTTGGCGGTCACGTGCCGCGCAGCCACGTGCCACGCAAGCGTGCATTTGATAGCAAAGGCAACCCCGCATATGTGCATTTAGTGGCGGTGACCGACGGACGGACACCACATTTTCCGTAATCGCTGAACATAGAAGACCTTCGCTAAGCTTCGGTCGACAAGTGAACATTTTCTCAGCTATATGTACAGAATAGATAGGTTTTGTCAGCCAAAATTTAAAACTACACCCTGCACTAAAAATACTCAGTACTAACAGGATTGGAACCGAGGGCATCTGTTAACGGTATGGATTTAGAATTACATAGCGTACTCATATAATATACGTGTGACTATTAAAGTCGTACTTATATTATACGAGTGGAAGGACGCTCATGCTCGTTGGTTTCCGGTTGTACGGTACAGGTGCTGTCGCGTCTTTTCCCGCTGAAAAAATGCTTTGATGTCTGCTTGACGTACAAGCGATCCAGCTTGTATATCAGCTACAGATACTCCGCTGTTAGCTCTTTGATCTTCTGCGGATAGCGCACTTGGTACAGAGATTCGAAGGCTTTGCGTTCCAAACTTTATACCAACAGGTTCATTTCTTATCATTCTGTTCATCCAACAGGACGACGAAGTTGTCAAAACCTGCTTCGACGCACCCCAGTCTGTGGTGTCTGGATCAAAGCCTTCCATAGAAGAATGCTGTCGCCAGAACGGTCTGTGGTCGTGTCGCAGGTGGCACGGTGCGTTATGATAACAGAATGAATTTTCCCTTGAAACTTGTGACCGTAACTCAAAGTCTCAGTCCTCTCACGCCACTGTCGTGTTCGTAAGTACGATTCCCATCCTATATATGCATACGGACACTACACTGCAAAACAAGGAAGAAACCGCGGATATGTGTGTACTTATCTATGTGTATATATGGGGAAAAACAAGTCTAGCCGAACCAGTCCCTTGTATTTCTGATGTCAGCCGACTGGTGTTTTACGGTGTATCTGTACATGGTGCTTATGTACCGCGCCTGATTTAACCGTATGTACGGCCGTAACGTCACACTCCAGCCGGCTGACGGCAGCAGTACAGGGAACGGGTCGAGTAGACTTGTTTTTTCCCCTATATATCCATGTGTATATATATTTCAATATAATAATACGTACTTATCGAGTGAACGAATGTCAGCCTCCTCCTAAAATAAACGCCATTTCTGTTTCGAGACTAAGCATTGGGAATATCTATATTTTTGTTCCCGCCATCGTTAATCATCAATATTTCATCCCGTTACTGCATCGGTAAAACGAGGTCATCGAGATGTTGATAAGCACTAGGCAGTATGAGCAAAATTACTCATACAAACATTGATGGGTTTGTACTGTGAATTTTGCGCTCAGGAAACGCTCTCTGTGACTCCGCGCTCTCTGCAACCACTAAAGAGTTGAACAGGTTGATTTACTGAGCACTTATAGCCGTTATAGGTATGATAATATTATAGAAGTAGTCTTACAGTTCAGCTGAATTTGCTTTACAAGTATACGTACTTTAGCGGAGCAGCAAAATAAAAAATCTGCAAAGCTATGGGCAGGGGGTAAAACGTGGCAATGGCACCTGCCACTGGCACTGCCAGTGGCATGGCAAGCGATAAAAGCTGGAGCCTCTGGCAACTGGCAAGCGATAAAACCTGGCAGATGCCACAAAAAATGTGGCACCACGTACAAGAAACAGATTTGGAATAGTTGGTCAAATCTATCATTTTTGAAAATTTTGCCAGCATACAATCAATTTATCATGTACAGCGTTAACAGCACTGGCCATGCACGAAGTGCGAGAGTAAGTGAATAGAGCTAACAGTCAGCCTAACACAAAACTCTCAAAAGGTCACCCACCTCGCATTTTTGCGCTGAGTGTCACAATAAAAATTAACGACAAGGTACGAGTATGTTAAGAACACGATCGCCACACTTGCTCAAGGAGACGTGGAATGTCTTGCTCTGGAATGTTTTGCGACTGATTATGTTGCTTTAATCGTGTGATTACTGCTGTTCAGCGTTGAGTACAAGCACGTGCACTACTTGCACGGTAGACGATGCAGTAGAAAGCAGACTCTTTATACTAAGAGCTGGATGTATCCCTGAACAGACATTACCTAAAAAACCATGTTTACGACAAGTGCAACTACGTACATGATTTCTACCGAAGACGCTGCGACTAAAACAGCAAAAGGCAGCGACATGACCTGAATCAAAAGTATTGCACGTAAAGTGCCAAAGGAGGATTTTATAATGTTCTGGTATTCACGTGGAAATGTGGCACAAAACTGTATCTACGGACTACGAGTACCGTAAAGCGACCAACTGTTGTTACTGGAACGCTATTCATTATTTTGTATATGGTGCCCGTGTTACAGTATATCTTCCCGACATCTAACATATTTACGTGAGATTTTAAATGTTCTACCGCAAATTTAAAGGTCATCTAGAACTTCTACTGCGCACCAGTTACCACCTACTTCATTACTACTACGAATGTTCGCAATAATTCGATACGAAAACCACTACGAACAAGCACTCCAGTACTCTACACTGTCTACTGTATTTGGCTTATTTATTGTAATGGAGTAATGTTTGCAGCGCTGCAACTAAAACCATGAAAATAAATTCCTAATAAATACGTAAAGTTTTTGGTGTAGTGCATTTGCAGGTTATAATGTGCAAGCAGATATAACGCTAACTGTTTAAAATATGATTCGCAAGTATCCGTCCTAAATTTATTGGTATTAGAAACTTTTGTCAACAAAACTCGTCGTAACTCGGCTCCTTTGCTCGTTAACCAATAAAATTTTATAATACCAGGGTTAGGCTGTGACATTAGTATGGCGTAAATAGTGTTCGCAGAATATCCAAACGTTCAAACTTATTGCAACTTTAAGGTGAGAACTGTGAAGTGTCAATAATAATTAAGACGAAAAAAGGTGCAATCACAAATTAAGCTATTTATTACTTACGCATATTGGCATAATAATCAAACGCTGAAAGAGTGGAAATGCATGTACAGACTAATACGAATTTATCTCCACGTAATCCGCCCCACTAAGATCCTATCCAACTTAAATTTATCCATACTTCATAATCTCAACGGTGACGGCAGGTGCCGGAGTCGCTTGGTAATCAAAAATTGCGCCGTACTCAGAGCCAGATATTATTAAAATTTTCTACGCAGTAGATTTTAACACTGTATCACACCGCCCAGCAGAATGCTGTTATACCGTTTGAGGCAGACTTTGAGTTTATTGGTTTGTTTATCATGAATAACTTTTGCCGTTATGTACAACGGGCTAACTACTGTAATAAGCTACCAAAAGTCCAAAACACAGAGATAAGGACCTGTGAATGTAATGGTGTGCATATATGGCGCCGGTTTTTTTGGAAATATAACAGCAAAGTTCAAATGCGCGTACGTAAAACAAACAATTGCGTCAAACCGGCACCACAGCAGATTAAACATCAAAACAGGACACCGTTGGCCACAATGCTGGACCTGGTCTGTAGTCAAAACAAGATTGCAAAGCCTGTTAGAAAGCGCGTTTCACTCAGTAACACAGCCACAACTATTGTCTCTGCAGAAATGATCTTGTACTTACTGTTTTGTACAAGCAATTATATCACTCCAGCTTTCAACTTTCTCTTCCGGTCCGAA